CTGTATTTGAATATAATTGATTTCCTTTGTCATCTTCTGTGCTTTATATTGTGGGTCTAAAAACATTTTTCTGAGAGGAGATACATAGGTCTCACCAGAGAGCCAAAAGGGTCTGCAACACATGTGAAGTTGTGCTAAATAGTTTCATTACAATGATAGGAAGATCAATGCATTTATCAAGAAATAATTGTATTAGATGGCCTCTAAAATGTAATTCTGAAGCTTGTGACTATATGTATTTCTCCTTGACCCAACTACCACTGCCATGGTCCTCTTTCCAGTAGTCTGTCAATGCCTATATAATGCAGAATGTAAGCTCCCTGAAGATTAAGACAGTCTCATTTTTACCTTTGTAACCCTAATATCCAACACACTATATGGCACATAGCAGATGATAAGTAATTGTTGACTGATTGATTCCACTCCCTCCCTACTTTCATACACATACACACACACATCCACCTTCTTCCACTGCTTCTTGTCTCCATTCAATCTATACTTTCTTGTCCCAGCAATGCCATTATTTCTTTTGCCTAGATTCACACAGTCCCATTCCTGATAATAAAGACCCCCTCATAAGGTCACAGTGAATCCATGTTATGCTGAATTCTGCTGTATGAAAGATAGGTCTGTAGTATGGCTACAAAATCATTAATGGATCACTGTAAAAACATACACACAAAGCTGATGATAATGCCATCCTCTATATGTCACCACAGGGGAAAGATAACTAAATTATTTCTCATTTTAAAACTATTCCCTTGATACATTGTGGAGGTTACTCCTTTGTGCTGTGTGTCCTATTCTCACTTCCCATTTTTTGCAGGTCTAGAGTTTCTATGAAAAGCTCAGTAGTCAAACATCAGATCTGTATAAATCTAAAAAGGTACCGGGCAACCATCAATGAGCTGAAACAACATGAAACAGGTGATTAAATTAAACATCTGGCTTGCTCTCATTTGCTTTTCTTGGTAAAATTTAAGTGTGGGATTTTACACTCCAGATTTTTCCTGCAATTAATTTGACTGTGACATTAAAAAAGTGGGGGAGGAAACTGCAAAGGGAAAAAAAATGGAATTCAATCTAAAACATAATGAACATATTGTGAGTTACTGCCCATCAAATCCTAGATCTGAGATATATTGGAGGGAGGGGGAAAGGAGGGAGGAGCAGATCCCAACCAGGGGATACAGTCTAGTTACAAATACCAAGAAGGTAAATCTTTCAATAAGCACAAATAATATGACCTAACAGGGTAAGAAAGGGGCTTTTTGTATTTTCTCAATAGTACTTAAAGTGTTATAGAATACTTTCTTCCCCACATCCTAATATATTGGAAGTGTTATTGTCATGCTCATTTTGGAGATGATGAAGCAAAGCTTTGGAGAAGCTAAATCCCCTTAACTTTAGAGAAATTAAATAACTTAGCTACCATCACATAACTAAGAAGTGTCATAGCCAGGAACTGAACCTAAAGTCTGTCAATTTCAGGTCTTGCATTCTTTCTATAGCAGGATGCTGCCTCTCTTTCAATTAGCCCAATGATTCAACAAATATGTTTATAATTCTGTAATATTAAGATGTGGGGTAGCTAAGTGATGCAATGGGTACAGTGAAGGGCCTGGAATTAGGAAGACTCAACTTCCTGAGTTCAAATCTAGCCTCAGACACTTACTAGCAGTCTGACCCTGGACTAGTCACTTAACCCCATTTGCCTCAGTTTCATCATCTTTCAAATGAGGTGAAGAAGTAATTGGCAAATCATTTCAGTATCTCTGCCAAGAATGAGGTCACAAAGACTCAGACACAACTGAAAAATGACTGCACAAATATTAAGATGTGATAAATATGAGGTACTTAGGTTGAAAATTCAAAAAGGAAAGTTAGTAATTAGCTTGTTCTGTAAAGTGTCGTGCCTAGGGGTAAAATTCCTTTATTTCTTTTGGATAGGGATAATGATTAACAAGAAATAATGATGACTGCCATTTATATAGTGCCTCAAGGTTTGCAAAGTGATTTGCATATATTACATCATTTTGATCCTCAACACAATCCTAGGAGATAAATGTAACAAGTTCCATTTTATAGATAAAGAAATTCAGGTTGAAAAACGTTAGTGTCTAAGGCAGGACTTGAACCCTAATGGCAAGCCTATCATTCTATGCAGTATAACAGAGTAAGAGACAGTTCTTGTAATACAGAATATTTTAGAAGTAGAAGGAAACTGAGGCAAACAGGTTCTGTGAATTTGTAGTCTTTAAATTCATCATTTTCCTTCACTTCAGATACAAAACTTGGCTAAATTCATTTTACACAATAAAAAATGAACATTCCTTTATTTTTGTCCAGTCATTTCAGTCGCGTTTGACTCTCTGTGAAAGCACAATTTTAATTACTATAAGATTTCCCTAAAAGAATGGCATCCCTTCACCTCTCTTGGTCTCAGTTTCTACATCTGTAAAATAAGGAAATCTTTAAAGCCCATGTAGCTTTGAAATCCAATGATTCTATGCCATTGACACATCATAGACTTAATGATGAGAATTAAGGAAGCTGTCATTAAGAAGCTCCAATTTGCAATTCTGTTCCTATGTACCTGTTGTAATTAGTATTCAAATCACTCCTCAGAGCTACAAATTATGAATCAAGATAAGGTATGACCATGATGAAGTACAAAATTTCTGCTCTAACATACTTCTTAATAATATATTTTTGATTTTTTTTCTTCAGCAGAATATGTACATTTACATATACTGTCCCCAAATAGCTGCTGGGTAAAGAGGTAAGTAGATCATAAGTGATAAGCTTATAATACTCCTAGGCTTTAAAATTACCTGTCAGGCTTTCTAATGGAATAAAGTTTCTTAAAGTGAACACAAGCATTGGAGATGGAATTATCTAGAACATTGTCATTTCAGAATTGAAGCAAGAGCTCCCTGATTGACTTGTGTTCAGCAAATAGCACAAGAGGCCCAGAGTCTCACAATTACTGTTCATCCTCCATTCTCCAGTAATCTCAAAGCAGCAGAAGAAATACATTATCCCTATAATATATAATAAGATAGATACCTCTACAATCCCTAAAGGTGGCTAGATGTTGACAAAGTCTCCTCCCCCAATAGCAACAAAATATGATTAAGTGCCAGTTTCTATAACAATATTCCATCGCAATATTTCCAATATTTACATCCACTACCAAAGAAAGAACTAGCTATATCCATATACAATGATGCAGAGAGCCCATTGTTTGGCATATGCTTCAAGAAGCTCAATGATAAAAAGAAAGGCCCCACAGACAACAAAATAGTTATAGTAGCATATCTTAGAGTAGCAAAGAACTGGAAACAATGTAGATACCTAGTGATGGAGGAATAGCTGAACAAATGGTAGCATATGAATGTAATGGAATAATACTCTATGGTAAGAAATATGATGAAGACAGAGAAGCATGGGAAGATTTCTATGAACTGATACAAAGTAAAGCAGCTAGAACTGGGTAAGCAATATACCAATGACCACAACAATGTAAAATGAAAGAACAAGAAAACAACAGAAACAGAGCGCTTTCAAATTATGAGGATGAAGTTTTTTCCCAAAGAAGAGATTTCAAAATGCACCTCTTTCACTTTACTGAAGTGGGAAACTATTATGCAATTAATGCAGGATTGCTTGTTGTGTTGGTTAGTTTTGTGGAACTTTTCTTCCTCTTTTTAATTCTTTGTTTTATGGGGTGACTTTCTGGGAGGGCAAGGGTTAAAGGTATATTGGAAAATATAGGTTATGTTTTTGTAAAAAGATATCAATAATATTTTTATAAAGAATTGACCAGAGGGAAGAAAGATAAATCATTGTCAAAGCCATTTTGTCTACAAACTGTGAGGGGATCTACCTATGAGATCCAAAGTGGGAAATGATAATTGAGGAAAATGGTGATTCAGAGCTTGAAATATCTGGATATATAACTTCATTCCTCACTTTCCTTCAAATATGTTCGTAGAGTTGTTCAGCAGCAAGAGTACTGTCTCTGAAGTCAGAGGACGTAAGTTTAAATTTCATCTATGACACTTAATACCTCAATGACTTTGTGCAAATCACCTATCCCTACTGGGCCTCAGTTTCCTGAAAGATAAAATTGGGGAGGGGGTGGCCTATATGCCCTCTGAGATTCTCTCTACTGTAAATCTATACCCCTAAGTACCTTTTAGGGTTATTTAAACCACTTGACATAACTTATCAGCAGGGATATTCTCACAGAGGCCTCCTCCATTAGGATTTAGGCCTCGAGCCCAGATTGGCTTTTTTTCATAAAAAGAAAGCAGAGACCAACTGTGCCCATGAATTCCCTTCCCCTTAGCATTGAACCAGTAATTTAGAGATTACCAGCCTACATTCTCTAAAAAAAACTCTGATGCTCAAGTGATATGTAAGTTGCCTTTTAAAAGAAATCCTTCCTGAGAATCATAGAGGCTGCTGCCACCATCTGAAGTCATAGGTGCCCATGAGAGAAGAGAGCAGAGTTAGACCTTGACATATTTCCAGCATGAAGCAAGCACATTGTCATCTCTGACTGGTGCTGCTCATGCTCATCACTAGAGAACCCGATTTTTTTTTCCCATGGCAAATAATTAGTCACATGGCATCAACCCCCAACTAGGAAGGTAGCAGTCACCACAGAGGCTAAAATAGCCATCAGTGCAAAAGTGGGCTCTCCAATATCAAGCATGATTCAGAAGTGCTAATGTTTCTCTTTTAAGTGGTTTGAGTCCTGTGGAGGAGTTTATAAATTTCCTCTTAGGTGAGTAGAACAAAATTTCAGAAAACATAAAGACCCACAAACAGGCACGCAATGTGAGGCACGCATACTCTCTCTCTCTCTCTCTCTCTCTCTCTCTCTCTCTCTCTCTCTCTCTCTCTCACACACACACACACACACACACACACACACACACACACACACACACAAACAACCACCACCATATACCAGTAAGCTTTTTACCCACCTATTTTTGCAAGGGATGCAAGAAGTATCCAAAGGGTCACTTCATATGGAATTTGCACATAATCATAATCCAGAGAAAAAACTGGCAGCCTCTCATCCTGCTCAGAGCTAGCGGTGGTAGCAACAGCAGCAGCAGCAGCAGCAGCAGCAAAATGAGCCTTAGGTTCAGAGTGAGAAGTGGAGTTGCTAGATACATTCAGATCACAGGCAGCACCAGGAAACCTGAAGACCACCACTACCAGCAGCAGCAGCAACGGCAACCAGTTCCAAGCATTAGGAGGCACAAAGAGATGATAAGCCATGGTGTGGGCTTCAGCGTCCCACCTATGTCCCTGTATGCTTCAGTATGCAACCCTCCACAGGGCTTCTGTATTCTCCTAGGAAGCCACTGCATGCACCTTTGCCACAGGTAACTCCCCTCCTGAGGCCAGCCTGGCAGGTCATTCCCAGCAGGGAGCTGTCATGTCAGCAAGTTCCCAGTCGTGGTGTTCTCAGACCTTCTCTGACGCACAGGCATCCAGACAGCTTAGCCTCTGTGTCAAATGCAGGTATGGGGTAGACTGAGTGAAATCCAGGTAAGATTCTTTATCAGCTTCAGTTTGGCCATGACCTGAAATGGAATTGATGTAGAGGAAAAAATAACCAGTCACTTCTCTCAAATCTGATTCCAAGCTTCAGAGTACAAGGATTCTCCTGTATGCGGGGAAATTAAGGAGGATGCAAAGCCTATTCCAGATCCAACTGAAGTTCCTTCTAAAAAGAAGAAAATAAACCCTTTCCTCTTGACTCAGAGCCCAGAGAATGTCGTGTTTTGTCGTGTTTTTTTTTTTCAGGTGCTCTCCTCCTCCTTTTCTCCTCCCCCTGTTCCTTCATTTATTCTGTGTGGCCAAGAGAGCAGGTAGCTTCTGAACCATTCTTAATTAAGTGCACTCCTTTGACTTTTGTAATGAAATGCTTCCCCCGCATGTGCCCTCCAGAGCTTACACTGGTGGCATCTAGTGGGCAACCGCTACAACTACACCTTTGCATCACCACCTGGGGCATTATATTGATGAAATATCTGCCAAGTTCCCAGTAGGTGCCAAGTACCAAGTTACCTACTGTGAGTAACGCACACAAGAAGAAAACACAATCCCTACTCTCCAGGAGGTTCAAGCAGTCGTAAAAGAAAGATTATGGGGCAGAATGAGCACTGTAAAGAATGTCAGGAAAACTGCATTAATCTATCCTTTACCAGATGACTGACCCTAACAAGTTACTTCCTCTTTTTGGGTCTTAATATCTTTTTTTTAATTAATTTATTTTGATTTACCAACAATCACTTCCATAAGCTTTTGAGTTTTAAATTTTTCTCCCCCTCCATCCCAAGATATAGGCTCTACATATACATTCCTATTAAACATATTTTCACATTAGAGATGTTGTAAGGAAGAATTAGAATCAATAGGAGGAAACACCAGAAAGAGGAAACAAAACAAAACAGAAGAAAAAATAGCAAATAGTATTCTTTGATCTGCATTCAAACTCCATAATTCTTTCTTTGGATGTGGATAGCATTTTCCATCATGAGACTTTTAGAGGTGTCTTAGATCCTTGAATTGCTGAGAAGGGTTAAGTCTATCAAGATGAGTCATCACATAACGTGCCTGTTCCTGTGTACAACGTTCTGCTGGTTCTGCTCACTTTGTGAGCAAAGAATTGGAAACTGGAAATTGAGGGGAAGCCCATCAATTGGGGGATAGCTGAACAAGTTGTGGTATATGAATGTAATGGAATACTGTTGTGTTATGATGAGCAAGTGGACTTCAGAAAAACCTGGAAAGACTTGTATATCTTAAAATGAAAGGAATAGATTAGATTTCATTACAAGCTCTAAAATTCCATGATTGTAGGAGTTTATATGACCACAAAACCAAATACAATTTAATTGAACAAACATTTATTAAGCACCTACTATGTGCAAGGCACAGAATTTATTTATTTATTTACCTCCAAGTGCTATAGGCCAGGGATTGAATGTTCTCACAGAAAGCAGATGCATCAGCCCTGGCCATAGATACCCCTGACTCAGCATTAAGTTCAGAGGATACACAGCCAAAAATAAAAGAGTCCTTGCCCTCAAGGAGCTTGAATTCTACTAAACATAAGCAAGGTATATATAAATGTTTAGCAATCAGAGGTCAGGTAATATAACCTGTACTGACAGAAAAGCCAGCTGGGAAATGTAGGATTTTTATTTAATTAGAAGGAGAGACTGAAGGATTATGAAAAGATACAAGGGTACCTCCAAAGTTTCCAAGTTTTCTTGTGTCTCTTCTCGTAATCCTTCAGTTTCATGTTCATCTAGTATAAACTACATTTCCCAACAGTCCTTGCTATCAGTACAGAGTTATTATAGCATAAGAGAGGAATTTGAGCTAGTGAGGCCTTGCTAGGTTAATGGGAGCTAAATGGGCTTCCTAAAGACATTCCAACATTCAGCTAAGGTCTGAAGGAAGAGAGGGTTATGGTATGGTGGAGAAGAGAGGGAGAACATGCAACCATCAGTCTTTTTAACATCCATCAGTCTTTTTTTTTCTGCTTTTAGGCAATTGGGGTTAAGTGACTTGCCCAGGGTCACACAGCTAGTAAGTGTCAAGTGTTTGGTCGGAGGTCAGATTTGAATTCAGGTTCTCCTGACTTCAGGGCCAGTGCTCTATCCACTGTGCCACCTAGCTGTCCCCCATCAGTCTTTTTTAACAAGTATTTACTGAGCACCTAGTATGTTCAAAGAATTGCACTAAGAGATACTGGAGTTGTAAAGATGTAATCCCTGCCCTGAAGAAGGTATTTTTTATGTATGAAGGAGAAGTATTGAGTAGGGAAGGATATGACTCTTTTTTTGAATGGAGTAGAAATCAGGGTATGATGAGGAATAAGGGAAGTTAGAGAAGATAGGTGCTATTGATAGAGATCCTTAAAGTATAAGCAAATTTAAGAATCATCAGATTGTAGTTGAAACCCAAGTTAAAGTTCTGTCCTTAGTGGCAAAATGAGTGTTGAGCTAAGAATTAGGAAGATTTGATTTCAAATCCTACCTGATACATTGACTAGTTTTGTGATACTAAACAAATCACTATAATAATAACTAACAATAACAATAATAACTAGTACTTACATAATGCTTTAAGATTTACAAAGAACTTTACAAATATTATCACATTTTATCCTTACAACAACTCTGGGAGATAGGTGCTATTTTTATAAATATTCTTACAAAAGAGGAAACTGAGGCTAAGAGTAATGAAGTGACTTGTTCAGGGTCACACAACTAGTAAGTATCTAAAATTGGATTTGAACTCAAGTCTTACTGACTCCAGGTCCAGTGCTCTGTCTACTGTGCCAAAGGAAGGCACACTGTGTCTGTGCCTGTACCTGATTTTCCCAGCTGTCAAATGGGGGAGGGGGAGTGGACTAGATGGCTTCTAAGGTTCTTTCTAGCCCTTACCCTAAGGTCCTATGATCTAGGTGAGTACTTATATTAATATCAGAGAGAGGGAGAGAGAGAGACAGAGACACATGCATACACACAGAGAAAGACAGAGAGACAAAGACAGAAAGAGAGAGAGAGAAGAAGAGAGAGTTGAGAATGGAAAAAGCATTAGGGTATACAACATTTATATATAATATATATTCATTTATATACATATTCATATATATGCATATATACACAAAGCAATGAACAAGATTTTGCATATTTTTATTTTGGCTGACACCTATGATTTCACCAATGTAAAAAACTCCCAAGTACAGATTAGACTTGTTCTGAAAGTCATTGTAATAAAGAATAGAATTGTTGCCTGAGGCACTGAAAGGTTAAGTGACTTGCTTAAACTCAGGTCTTCCTGACTCTCTTTCCACTCACTACACTTGTCTCAAATTTGAAGTATGATGTGTGTGTGTGTGTGTGTGTGTGTGTGTGTGTGTGTGTGTGTGTGTATCTGTGAAAAGTAAAGTTTATTCTCTATTGATAATTATCTACAGAGAATTAAAGTAAATATCCAGACACTTTGAGCCAACAGGAACAGACTGAATTATCTGCAGATCTTTTCAGAGTTATCTAGTTAATTGCCACATTTGGATAAAAGTCTGAATTTCAATTAGCAGCTAAAACCTGACCCAAAAGCCCTGGAAGTTCCTATGCCAGTCCTGGTCCCGTAATTAAAGAGTCCTCCTCTATCTTCCTCATTTGGAAGCCTTCCAGCACAAAAGGTGAGACATAGCCCTGAAGGAATGGAACTACCCAAACAAATTGCTAGCCATTTAAGTGACAATACTAGATCCACCATAAGAATAAGTCAAGGATGATATGCTCTGTGGTGGCATCACTGGCAATACAGCCTGCAACTGCACACATCTGGAAACCCAGCCCTTTAGGGCTTTCTTACCCTTCTACTTCTAGATTCCTAGAAACTGGCTTTGTTTTAGACATTCCCACAATAGTTAATGCAAAGGGAACCCCAGAGAGAAAGTTAACCAACTAACAAATTCTTCAGCTGTATGTGGTCAACCAATAGTCCCATCTCTCCATGCTCACACATTAAAATGTTTTCAAAAAAATTAAAAGTTACCAATGTCATGTTTCTTCCCATAATTCTATGGAAGGGTTTGACTTTGGCTGGAGTTTCTCACTGTAGCTTGCTCAGCCCTTTGGGGAGTGAATATCTGCTGTATGTCCTGCTATTCTGACAGGGCTCAAATTTTCTATTCTTTTTTTAGGAAAGGAACAGAGATATAGAATTGGTCCCAGGTTGTTCAGAAAGACGACTTGCTTTCCAAGTTCGTAGCTACTAATTAAGCTGGGATGGTCTTGAATCTCATCTTGGCACTTCCAAACCTTGAATTGAGGGCCCGCATTCTGAGCTGGAGCACAATCAAAAGTTTTGACCCGGCTTTGGGGACACAGACCTGGCCTTGTCCCTACCTCCCAAAGCCAAACATTCCCACAGTCTTTGACATATATGATCGACAAAGAGATTCTTGGAGCAGCTCAGAAGTGGGAAAGGAGAAAAAAGAGAGAGAAAGAGAGAGATTGTTTGCCCTGTGAGGGCAATCAAAACCTCTCTGAGCCTCTGTTTCCTCTGCAATAATTAAAAATGACATTTCTATTGTGTTTTTATGTATATTATCTCATTTAAGCCCCACAATGGCCCTGCCAAGTCGTGCTGTAGCTATCATTATCCCTATTTCACAAATGAGGAAACTGAAGTTGTAAGAGGTAACTTGACTTGCCTATACTTTCATACCTAGTAAGTGCAAGAGGCAGGATTTGGGTAAAGCTCTTCCTAACTTTAAGGTGGTACTTAAACCATTAAGCCATGCTTCCTTTCAAATGGACCAGATAGTCTCTCAAGATCTTTTCCAGGTATGACATTCTATGACTATGACATTGTAACTCACCTTGACCCAGGACTTTTAGGCCTGGTTCCTGTTCCTGAAGACAATTCATTTGCTGGTTACTAAGGTTGCTTTGACCTTTAGATATAACATGGTTTCTTCATGCTTTGCCTAGATTAGCTCAATGGTATCACCCTCTCTGGAAGTCATGAGTTCTTCAAGGCTATGGATCTCATTTCTGAGCCTTCCCCCCCAATTTTGGACTCGCTAAAGGCTTCCACACCAACTCAGCTCCTTTTCCTGTTCAAAATTAATGGCCTCTTTGGACATCACATTCCTCTTTCTGGTTAGAAATTGACAACTTAGATAACAGACACATCTTGAAAATAGTGAATATGTCATACTTTCCTGGACACAACTACCAGGTCCACCCACTGTTCTCTCCTTTCAGATTAGTGACTCTTCTCAAGTCTCCTGGCTGCTGCTGTTTCTTCTTCTTCTTCTTCTTCTTCTTCTTCTTCTTCTTCTTCTTTTCTTCTTCTTCTTCT